ACCCCCCTCCATCTCTTTCCTCTCCCTGAACCAGGCAGCACCACCACCACTCCCCAGCCTCCCTGCTCCTTTTTTAAACCCTCATCACTGGACGTGCTCAGAGAGAGGGAGGAGAAGAGAGAAACATCGATCGGCTGCCCTCTGCACGCACCCCAACCAGGGATCAAACCTGCAACCCAGGTATGTGCCCTGACCAGGAACTGAATCAGCAGCCTTTCGGTGCACAGAACAATGCTCAACCGAGTCACTCCAGCCAGGCACCTCCCTGCTTTCTTCCTCTCCCTGTCCCAGCTGGGCTGTCCCCCTCACACCATCCTCGCCTCTCACCGAGCTCTCCACAAAAAGCCAGCACCAGGGCCAGCAGCACTAGCCATGTCCCCTGCATGGTCCAGTCCCCACACAGCCACTCGGTGCTTGTACTTGGCCTGCCTGCAGGGATAGTGGACACCCAGCACAGCCACCAGACCAGTCAGCTGACAGATTAGCGCGATCTGGTTTCCTGAGGGTGGTAGAGGTTTGAAGAGCCGCCCCCACTTGGGCCCTCCCGCCTCCACCTGGGCTTCCCGGTCCTCTGTGGGGACTTCTCCACCCTCTTCCTCATTTCTCCGCCTCCCTGCTCCCTGTCACCCCCCCATCTTAGAGTTTGGGAGTCCTCACTCCATTGGTAATTCCCCCTGGAGTCCTTCACCTCCCTCCTTCCCTCCACCTGGGACACACACCTGTGCCTGGAAGGCCCCCCATGCTGCCTGGGAGAGAGTGGCAGGGGGTAGGGGTCTCAGCCACCCCCTGACTCCTGCCTCTCTCAGGCACCCTCCTGCCTTGGGTCCCCACTTCTATCTCCAGGGCAGATCCCTGGTCTAGTGGCTCTGGGTCCAAGTTCCCCCAGGTTCCAGGGTCCCACCTCCCAGCCCCTTTGAGGTGGTTACGGGTGAGGCAGTTTGTAGTGATGGGGGCACGTTGCTTTGTGGGTAACCAGCTGCAGAGGCTCAGAGGCTTAAGGAGACAAAGAGGAAAAGTACTGAATCAACAGAAAGGTCCTAGATGGAGGGTGGAGGTGAAGACGGGCCAGGGTCACCTTGGGAACACTAATCCGGGTGTCCACCTTGATCTCTAATGAGGCTGCCCCTCAGGCAGGGCTCACCTGGCCCCATTGCAGGTCAGGAAATTGATGGGAAGTCCCTGGGCCAAGGTTCAGGCAGGAGCGGGTGAATTTGGGTCTGATGATTCATGGGTGGCTCCAGCCACTGCTTCCCCACCACACACACACACATCCCTAGGATGCCTGCACCTCAGCCTCCCAGGGTGTAACTGCCTGTCACCACTGCCACCTTCAAGCACCACAGATGCCAGAGCAAACCCTGGCATGGGGTGGTAGATGCAGCCCTGAGGCCTTTAGCAGAGTGGTCAAGGCCATGGTCTTGCTGGGCTGTGCTCAGACTCACTCGGGGCTCCACTGCACCCCACTCAAACTCCAAATGTTCCTGCTGCAGAGGTGCCCTTCCCCCCACGGTTGAAATTCTAACTGTCCTGGGACACCCCCCCTCCCCAGCTTTCCTGGGGGATCAGGGATCAGCTCATTTGGGATCTGTTCTTCGCCTACAACTGGGAGGGCTTGTGTCTCATGGGCACTGGATAGGGCCCTAGGTCTCTCTCAGCACTACAGCTCCGGAGGTACCAGCACTCAGGACTGCACTGTGGATGTGAGACTGAGGCTACTAGCAGCTGTCTGACAGGCAGTCACTGAGAGGGCTGGGTGAGCCAAGGCTGGGATGGGCCTGTCTGATTTTGCACTTCACCTCGCTGCAATAGGGCATTGATGCAGGTGAGCTAACTGGATTAGGCACCCACCTACCACACACCCTAGGTTCCTCCTCAGGTCTAGCCAATTCCTTTGTCTTGGTCCAGCCCAGCCCAACTCCTTCCTGTCCTCAGACCCAGGGGCTCCGCCCTTGCTTTGTACCCAGAGCACACACCTGGCCCTGGACATTTGCTCCTCCCAGAGTTTCTGTAGAGCCCCTCTGGGGAGACCTGGGCTGAAACTTTCTGCAAAGTTCAACTGTCTACTTAGGGTGGGAGGGATGTGGCCCAGCCAGGGTCTGGGCTGACTCTGTCTAGGGTGCCTGTGTGCTTAGAGGCCAGCACCCTCCCTCTGGGTCAGTGTACAGCTTGTGCCCAAGATCAGGACTCAGCATGTGACCAGGTCAGGGCTCAGCCTATGTTACTCTTCCCCAGCCTGCCTGTGGGGCGGTCTCCCAGTAGTCTCGGGAACCCCAAGTAGGCGGGAGCTGTCCCACCTGGGCTCTGCTCACTGTCCCCCTCTGAGGCACCAGGCAGAATTGCTCTATGCCAATGTTTGCAGCTGTGCAGGCTTCCCAAGGCAGCTGCTGAACCCCGTTCTTCCACATCCTTCCAGAAGGACCCCAGTTGGGCTGTCCCCCCTGGACCAGCACCTCTGGACTAGCCTGCACTTAAGTTGCTCCCAGTTTGAGCACCTTCCAAACAGTCTAAACACTTCATCACTGCTAGGAGACGCATGCTAGGAGGCCAGTGTCTCCCCCTTGTGCTGAGGGGCTCCTTATCCATGTCCTCAGGGCTTTGACCTCCCCTCCCCTATCACCTCCACTCCACCCTTCCAGATTTCCAGAAGGGTAACTCGGCAAAGACTACCATTCACTGCAGGCACTTCACCAAAGACCCATCGGCTCTTCAATGGGAACCATCACAGGGCAGTTTACCCCCACAGCTCAGAAACCCTGCCTCAGAATCCTAAAGTACTTTATCAGGGTCCTTCCCCAGCCCTCACCAAGCCCCAACACTGGGAGACCTGCCTTACAAAAGATGCTCCAACCTCAAGAGAGTGGAGGACAGTGGCTCTAACTTCAGCAGGGGGATGGAGTTCCTGCCCTTCCAGTGGGCAGAGTTGGGCCCACAGGACCCTCAGGTGGCCTCCATTGCCTTGGGGTCAAGGTCAGCACTTGTTCTGCCAGGATCCTGCAGCAGGCCAGCCGGGGCAGTGGTCACTCTGAGTGAGGGTGCAGAGGAAATCCGGGCAGTGCCAGGCAGGCGGGCGTGAGCATGATCCTACAGGGCCTCCTCTCCTCGATAGGCCGAGCCCACCCCTGCCCAGCTCTCCCATAATGATTCGAGCCTGCTCCCCAAGGCTGCCTGACTTAGTTGGATGTGTCCCCTCCAGGGCGGGGTAATAGTTCAGTCTCCCCCTAAAGGAGCAGGGTCAGGTCCAGGTGGCTCTGTGGAGCCTGAAAAACAGACCTAGGGTGGCCCCTTGCCCAGCTCCCTGCCCTTCCAGCCCAAAATAGCCCTGGAGTTAGCTCTTTGGAGCAACCAAATATAGCCCCAGGCTGTTACATTAACCAAGCCCTTGGGTGGGGAGTGGCGCAACTCAAGAGTCTGGCTAAGCAAGAAGGGACAGATCCCTCCTCAGACCAGGACACAGCTTCTGGGTCTGGAGGGGCCTCTTGCGGCAGAACCACCTCCTCCCCATGCTATGGAACTTAAGGCGCTGACCACTTGGGGGTACTCTATTCAAGAATGAGACCTGGCTGTCTAGGTAGTTTTATTTACTTACAAGTAAAGGAGATGGGATTCACAACCAAAGTCTGGTTTCTGAAGGAAAGGCTCAGTTATTGCTTTTATACACTATTTGGTTAATTACATATGGATTTCCTTTTTGCAGTTGGCTAAACTTATTCAGTGTGGTTCTGGTTAAGCTCATTCAGTTACAGCTGTGTGTGCAAAATACTGAGCTACACTTTACATTTAGCAAGGACAGCATTTAGTAAGAACCCCCAGACCTTGAGATCCTCATCCTAGCTAACACAAAGTCCAACACTCCTTCCTAGGACAGCTGGGGACAAAGGCCTTCCCACACAGCCCTCACATCACAACTGCCCCCAGGGCTACCAGGAAGGTGGGGCACATCTCCCTGCAAACAAGTGCTCCTTGGCCGACCAAAGGCCCCCATAAATAGCACACATTGCTGGGTGCCCCATCCTAGGACCAAGAAGTGCCACACACCTTCAGAAGGCCCAGCCCCACACCCACCTTTTGAAATAGAAAGGTCATGGCCTGGTAGCAAGGCCCCATGGTGGTTCAGAGAAGTCAAGGGTCCTCTGGCAGACAATCCTGGGTGTGGTTGAGGGGGTCTGGGAAGGGCAGAGGGTGGATGGGGTGTGCAAGGTGAGAGGGTGGGGCTGTCCCTCTCAGAGCTTCACCCTTGAGCGGGTCTTCAGGGGAAGGGGGGCAGGCAGGGTTTCAAAACAGACCCCAGAGGATGGTCAGGAGTATGGGGGCCAGGGCCAGGGTCCCTGGGGCAGTGAGGCCAGCACCATTACAGAGGTCATACTGGCAGCAGGAGGTGGTGGAGGCATGCTTGGAGTAGCCATCATACACAGTCTCAAAGCAGCTGGGCACGCAGGACTTGCTCACCTTCATCCTGGTTGGGGTGTAGTCTGCAGAGGTGCAAAGGGCAGGAGGCTGGCTGGGACCCTGAGAAGGGCCACGACCCCAGGTTGGCCCAACCCCAGCATGCAGACCATTAGGGCAGGTTCCCTCTCAGCTGGGGGATCCCAGAAAGAATCCCAGGGCAGGTGAGAACCTCCTCCCTCAGTCTCCCTCATACTCCCAGGGGCAGGTGGGAGCCTCCCCATTCAGTCTCCCCAGGAAGGGCTGTGGGGACATCCCACTGACTCACAGGTACGTGTGGTCATGCAGTAGGTGACCATGGATGGGCAGCGCATGGGGTTGAAACAGTTCTCCCCATTGTAGGCACACACATGGCAGTCCAGAGCCTGGGCTGGGGGCCAAGAATGGGGCAGGAGGGGGAGGGAGGTCACCAAACAGGGAGAGCCCCTCCTCAGGCCCATCAGACCCCCAGTTCCAACACCTTCCCAGGGCAGAAGAGTAGGCAAAGAGGTGGTCAGCAGAAATTCTGGTTCCCTCCCCACTTCCCGCCCACCTGCCCAAACATGGTCTGCCCAGCCCTCCATCCTCCATCTGTCTCACCCAGAGGTAGGCCCACCAGGCCCACCAGGAACAGGGCGAGCAGGGGCGCCATGGCTGCAGGCCAGAGGGCAGAGTGTGTGTGGGGAGTAGACAGCAGGTGGTCCTCGATTCAACTCAGACGGGGCTGGGGCAGGGCACAGATGCGGCTTGACAACCCCTCCGGGAGCTCCTGGTCTACTGGTGGTGCTGCAGCCCTGCACAAAAGGGACAAGGACAGGGGGCCTGGGCAGGGGTGCCGGCAGGCAGAGGAGCCACCCAACTCAGCCTGGGTGTCAGGGAAAGTTTCCTGGAAGAAGGGTTATGAGCTGAGAAAGAAGCAGGGGTGGGACAGGCGACCGCAGACCCAGAGCCTACAAAACAGAAGAGCTGTGCAGATTGAAGGGGTGGGCAGGGAAAGGGGAGGCTGGAGGGGCCCTGAGTGCCAGGCCAAAACCCACACTCTACACAGAGGGTGTTCATGCAGGGGTCCTACGGGAGCTTGGCACACAGCCGTCTCCCCACCCAGGGCCCTAGCTACAGGGTGACTGGCCAGGGCAGGGCTGGGCCCCATGGGGGGGGGGGTTCTCCTCAGTATTCCCTATTCTCCTTTGCTCCCAGGGTGCCCCTGAGTGGGTCCCCCAGTTCCTGATACTTCCAGGCCCAGCTGGGGGTCCCCTCTCCCAGAAAGACCTCCAGAGCCCTGCCCTGGCTCTCAGGTCTGAGTCCCTGCCACTGCGGGAAGCTTCCAGGAGCGATGAGCTGCGCGCAGCCTGCAGGGACATGCGCTCTGAACGCCTTCCAGGAGGACACTCGGCCAGACCGCAGGACGGACAGCTCAGGCCGGGTGTGGTGCCTGGAGTGGAGGCGATGCCCCTTTCTGGGAGGGGGTGGGGAGGTCTGGACTACGGTTAACCTCCCCCCCCGCGGATATTTGGACTCCAGGTCCCAGCTCCGGGCACTAAATCAGACCCCCCCCGCAAAAACCCCACCCAATTCCCGCTGCCGCGCCCCATTTATGGGCTGTCAGCCTC